CCTTGTGACTTGAAGAGGAAGTGTCAGTCATCAGTCATGTCCAACCCTTTGCAGCCCCCTGGACTGCAGCCCGCCAGGCTCCTCTGTCCATGGGATTCTCAGGCAAGCATACTGGAGTGGGTAGCCATTCCCTTCTCCAGCGGATCTTCCTGACCCAGGGATCAAACCCTGGTCTCCTGCATTGCAGGCAGACTCTTTACATCTTCACTCTGAGCTGGACTTGTGACTTACTTTTGTCAATAGACAAAGATGAAACAGCAGTGTGCCAAGCGTAAGCTTAGACCTCAAGAGGTCAGGCAAGTTTCTACTCTCCCCTGGATTCCAGGACTACCATGTGAACATGTTAGGCTAGCCTGTTGGAAGATGTGGTACTACCCGGAGCAGAGCCAAGTTTCCCCGGCTAAGGCCACCCTCAAGCAGCCAGCTCTCAGCCACTCCAATAGCAGACAAAAATCACATGAGCAAACCCAGCTGGGGTGAATCAAGCCCAACTCGGACCTAAAGAACTGCCGGGCCAGCCCATAGACACGTGAGAAAATGAGAAATGGTTGCTGTCTTAAGCCACTAAGTTGTGGGGAGGTTTGTCCTATAGTCCCCTTGGTAAGGTCAGCCCTAATATATGTGATCAGCCTGCAGGGGAGGCATCTCAGCTGCTCTGCTCTGAATATGTGCTCATCAGGAAAGCTTCTCCTTGTGATGTGGTTGTCACCAAGGGGATCTGCAAGAAGAAGACACCCCACCACGCCACACAGGGTCCCAGCCATTGTAAATTCACAGACTGGGGTGAGCAAGGTCACTGGGATGTAGCCCAGAGGGACAGATTGGTTTTCTGAGGCAGCAAGACCTCAGATGGAAAAAATTCCACAGTGGTGAAAGTCACCTTCTAAAGGGGTGACTTGGGGGACACCCGGCCAGCCACCCAGCCAGGACCCAACCTTGTCACATCCTGTTTCACAGAAACTTTGACCAGGTTCTCAGGCATCCAACCCCATTTCTATCCACGAAACACATTGCAACAGTCCCACAGCACTAGGGTCAGTCATCGGGGGAAGCTCTCAAATCCCCAAAACCATGCTCTTTATTTTTTTTAATTGGGTCCAGTTGATTTCAAGTGTATATCAAAGTGATTCTATCAGACACATATAACACATATATATTCTTTTTCAGATTCTTTTCCATTATAGGTTATTACAAGATATTGAATGCAGTTCCCTGTGCTATGCAGTAGGTCTTTGTTGTTTATCTATTTTATGTGTATTAGTGTGTGTATGTGCTCACTCGCTCAGTCGTGTCCACCTCTTTGCAGCCCCATGGACTGCAGCCCGCCAGGCTCCTTTGCCCATGGGATTCTCCAGGCAAGCATACTGGAGTGGGAATGCTGTGCCCTCCTCCAAGGGATCTTCCCAACTCAGGGATAAAACCTTCGTCTCCTGCATCTCCTGCCTTGCAGACGGATTCTTTACCATTAGCGCCACCTGGGAAACCCAATGTGTGTATTTTAATCCCAAACTCCTAATTTATCTGTCCTCCCTCCCCTCATACTCTCCCCTTTGGTAACAATAAGTCTGCCAAAACCATGCTCTTTAGAGCAACAGTCCCCAATCTTTTCGGCACCAGGGACCAGTTTCGTGGAAGACAATTTTTCCATGGACCAGGCAGGGGAGATGGTTTCAGGATGATTCAAGCGCATTACATTCACTGTTCACTTTATTCCTATTACTATTACATCAGCTCCATCTCAGATCATCAGGCATTAGATCCCAGAGGTAGAGGACCCCTGCTTTAGAGGAACGAAGTCCCAGAGGGGCAGAGCCGCAAATTGTGGTCATTGCATTCAGCCTACAAGATGGAAGTCTCAAATAAGTGCACCATATAATATCATGTACATGCATCCCATGGTACACCAACAGTCAGTGTATTTCCAGTTGATTCTAACATCTTTCCATAGCCATAGAAACTACTTTCATCCTCAAAGAATACAGACTAAAAACTAGCAAGGACAATACCTGCAGGACTATTCACTAAAGGTGACACTTTCTTTCATTGCAAAAGGAAAGGTTCAAAAGAAGCCCTAAAACAGTCCTTGATCTGGATGAAAGATTGCTGAACACTGTTTTGCACTGAACTTCTCATCACCTTGGAAAGATTTATGCCTCTGCTGGCTGCATTTTCTCAGGCTGAGTGACCTAGGAACCTATGTCTCCCAACCAGCCTTCTTCTAAACATCAAGTGTAGGATGTCAGCCAATTCCTTCCACAAGAGCTCAGGATATTAATCTTAGCAACAAATAGAAATCATGAGAGGCAATATCCCAGTGACCCTGCCGGCTTACCCTCTGACCTCAAATCCTACTGCTGCTCCCCTCGCTCACTCACCCACAGCCCCAGTGGACTTCTTTCTGGATTTTCTCATGAACACACCTCCCTCCTGCTTCAGGGTTTTGCAGGTGCTGCTACACTGCTTAGAATGCTCTTCCTCAGACATCTGCCTGGCCCGCTCCTCACTTCCCCAGGGGTCCAGTCAAATGTCACTCATCAGCAAAACCTTTCCTGACCAAGCTATATTAAACAACAACAATCCTCACCCCGCCCTCTGGCAAGACTCCCCATTCCTCTTACTCTGCTTTATTTCTCCACACTATAATGCATCATTATCTCGCTATTTATGTGTCCATTATCTTACACACACACACACACACACACACACACACAAGGTAAGCTCCTTGAGGGAGTTTATTTAATTCAATTCTGTGTCCCCACACATAGAGCAATTCCTGACAACATAGTAGGTACTCAATGAATGAACTGCCATTTCTTAAGGACCTACTTTGTGTGAAGCAATTTATATATGATGATCATTTCCCAATAAACATATATTTTTAAGCACTTATGATGTAATTATATTATAAGAACTCCATTGTTATCTCCATTTTACAGCTCAGGAACCCAAAGCTCAAAGCGAGGCTAAGAAACCTGCACAAGACACTTACCTAGGTCTGTTTGAGTATCAAAACCCACACTCCTTGAAGTGTGCTAATCTGCTTTTCAAATACCTTAGTGATGGTTTAGGTTATAAGATGCATGTAAGTCGCATCTCTGGCAACATGTATAATGCAAGAGCTCTTCATTCTACCATTTTTCTATCACCCACCATAGATTTTGTCCAGGGGAAAAAAAAATCCGTCAGATTGGATTTTTATTTCCCAGAGTACACTGGTTGGAATAGCTTTAGATTTCCTTTATTCCATCCATTTAGAGACATCCAAGTTCAGAGCTTTCCTTTCAAACTGAGCTGGGACAAGCACAGACAGGTCAGGGACCCAAAGGGGATGAAGGCAGAAGTTCATCTACTCTGAGAATCCCTCAGAACTATCCAGAACCCTTGCCTTTGTGAAGTACTGGTCCTAGAACTCAGGAAAATGATCCATTAAAGAAACAAAAAGCCTGACCTCCTGCATAGGACACTCTTTTCTCTTGGTTGTCATCCTATGTCTATGTCTACTGGTATCTGGTCACATACTGCAAACGCCAACCCTGCTGTAACGTACAGAGCTCTGCACACACGGCAGCCTTGATGCTGATGATGGGGAGACTGACGGGGGTTATTCACAGACCGAGGGACCTAGAGAGGGACCCTGTTTCTACTGAAATTCATGTAATGCCTCGCCTAGGAGCGCTTCATTTAAAAAAAAGATCACTGCCACATTAATTCCTCTCTTCCTGCTCCCACCAGTCTTTCCACATCTACATTGCTGAACTTATCACACCTCATCATTACAGGTGTTTCTTCTCCACCAGATGTGAGCTTCTGGGGAAATGGACTTTGTTTTCATCCTCTCTGCGCCCCTCCAGGGTTAATCCAGCCTCTGTCACATCCTAGGTGCTCGACCAGTATTTGCTGACTCAAGAAAGATGCAGAGTGAGCCTGTACCGTGTTTGCGGCACCCACTGGAGCGAGCAGGGTAAGTGACCTCTTCTGGAAAGGGCAAGAAGCAGAAACAGAAGAGACCAGGGTAGACCAGAAGGACCACTGGGCTGGCCAGGATGTCCAATTCTCCCTTGTAGGTGTTTACTTCCTATTTACCTGCCACTCCCTGAACCCCAAAACCACCCGCATTTGCTTCTGAACAAGCTTTTTAAAACCTGAGCACACACCCCACCCCAGTCTCCCACCCCACCCCACCCTACCGGTCTGCTCTTACCAGAGCCCCAGACACCGAGGTTAAGTTACCTTTAAAAGGAGCTAGTCTGCATCTGTGCTTTCTGGTTTAAGGATCGTGTTTCAGCAGCGGGGCTGAACCCTGGACAGCAGATATAGCTAACACCCGTCTGCGGAGGAAACGGCAGTGCCTCATTCCTCCCTGGCTAAACGCACCCGCTCACCCATCCCTGCAGAACAAATCATGTTCTTTTCCTTGCGCTAAAATCCATCTATAAACAAATCCTCGCCGCGTCCCTAAGAAACGGCTCCCACGTCCGCGGAGGGCGCCCTCCACACACACAAATACACACTCACAAAACCCAACCCAGAGGTACCAGGTGAAAGCCTGGTTTCGATCTGTCCTTTAAGAACAAACCAACAACATCATTCACCACACACACACACACACACACACACACACACAACCCATCTAATTGGAAAGAACTGAAACTAAAAGGGGTGACTAGGAAGCTTATGGAGAGAGAGTTATCAACGTCAGTAGCCTAAGTTGCAAAACTATGTATGGCGCTAACAGTTCAAACAGGATTTAAAAACAGCCCTTGGGGATGCCCCTTTCAAAGAGGCGCGCAACCCCGCGCAGCAAGCAAGTGCTTGCTTTTCTGCGCCAGCTTTCCAAGACTCTCCCTTGTCTTTTGTGCCATTTACTATAAACAACATTCAGAGGTAGCCGCATGTACATTTCAGCCCAGGCATGCGAGCCTGGGAGCCCCCAGGGTCGCGCGGGCTCAGCGTCCCCGGCCGGGTCTGCACGCACAGGAGCGAGCAATGCCGTCCCCTACCTGGGTGGGAAATCCGCACGCGGCCGCCTCCGGGTGCGGGCGGAGCGGTGTCCGTCCCGGTGGCCCGGCCGGCTGCTCGGGAGAACGCGGCGCTGGGGCGATCCCGGCGGAGGCAGGAGTCCGCGGGTGTCACACCTGCATCACGGCGCCCGCGCCGCCGCAGCGCGCAGCGCGCCCCCGCCACACCGAGCACCCAGGGCGGGAGGCTCCTGGGTCCTCTACTCAGCGGGATCAGAACCTAACCGGCTTTCTCCCCGGCCTGGGCATTAAAGGCGTTGGCGGCGGCCACCTCTTCTCGCTTCTAAATCCCCTTTTGATTTAAGATGGACTGTTTGGGATAGCTTGATGGGCAGGGGACCCAGCTAGGGACCCAGGCTTTCTGGATTTGCAGAGCAATACACGCTAAACTTCTTATTCCTCGAGTTTCGAGTTTCATCACCTACCGATGACTGGCATCTCTTTCGCGCTCTCCACCGCGCCCCGCACCAGGGGGCGCTATGCACTCCACACTCCCTTTCACCAGCCCCAAACTAAGACACTTTGGAGGGCACGACTTGAATTCCTGGGAAGGTGAATCCTCGGATAGTGCGTGCCTGCTCGGTCGGTCGTGTGGACTCTTTGCGGCTCCATGGGCTACAGCTTGCCAGGTTCCGCTGTGCATGGAATTTTCCAGGCAAGAATGCTGGAACGGGTTGCCATTTCCTAGTGCAGGGTGTTTTCCCGGACCAGGGTTCGAACCTCTGTCTCCTGCATTGGCAGGGGGATTCTTTACCACTGGACCACCAGGGAAGCCCATCAATGCTTATATCTGGTATCTAAACTTCTTGCCTGACGACTCTGGTTAGGACTCTCAGACAGCATTGAATTAAAGTGGTACTGAGGCTCTATGTTTAAAATGGATAACCAANTCCGCTTCAAGGTCTGAGGATGATTTCTCGGACTCTCCTGACGGTCCTTAAGTCCAAAGTCCCTTCAGGAGGCCAGCCTATGTTAAAGCTGGGCCATTCAGCACTGCAAAAGATAACCATCCGAGATTTTTTAATTTCTACACTCAGATTATGAGTTCGAGCTCTAACTTCTTTGAAATGGTCAGTTATTAAGGTAAGCGGAGAGCATCCAGATTGGGTCTGTCCCATCGTCGGTCAGCCACACAATGAACAAACAATACACACACGGGACTACTGAGTGGGAGCTGGAAGACATCTCTTCCTGCTCCCTGCTGGAGACCGTATCGGCGCGTCTGCCCAGGTTTAAGTCCAGCTACAGAGCGGGGCCCCCTTACAGATACAGATGCAGCCGCTGCTACTGCTTACCGGCCGTTCGTCCTCCGAAGCGCGGGTCCTGGAGGGTCCGGGGGATCCCGGATGAGCCCCCAAAATGTTGTACCCGGATCGTGGGATCCCACCAAACACCACAGGAGCCGCGGATCGACGCAAAAACAGTGAGGAACTTTACAAGCTCCAACAGGGACTCTCTTCACACAACGGCGAAGGAGCCTGTTTATCATTTTCCTACCTTCTTCTTCATTAATCAATGTCTTTAATTAAATTATTATATAAACTCTATTCACTTTAGTTTTCCCTTTTAGTATTTTTATCTTAGTTAGATGCTCTATTTCTATCATGCAACTCTAATTGCAGTCACCTCATCACTTCCCCGGAGATGGCAATGGCACCCCACTCCAGTACTTTGCCTGGAAAATCCCACAGATGGAGGAGCCTGGTGGGCTTTGGTCCATGGGGCCGCACAGAGTTGGACACGACTGAAGCGAATTAGCAGCAGCAGCAGTATCACTTCCTGGTGGCTCAGATGGTAAAGAATCTGCCAGCAATGCGGGAGGCCTAGGTTCAGTCCCTGGGTTGGGAAGATCCCCTGGAGGAGGGCATGGCAACCCACTCCAGTGTTCTTGCCTGGAGAGTCCCCATGGACAGAGGAGCCTGGTGGGCTACAGACCATGGGGTCGCAAAGGGTCAGACACGACTGAGTGACTAAGCACAGCAAGGCACATCACTTATCACTGCCCAAAAAATGCAGAAATCTAAGTTCAATTCCATTTATTTTTTTTAACTTTGTGCTAAAATATATATTTTAATATAAAATTTTTAAAATATTTTTTAATTTACAATAACATAACTTCAAGTGTAAAGATTAGTAAACAGACTTAAATTTTTTTTTTCAGTTAGACCAGCTGCTATGTCCAAGCAATTTTTCTGAGCTATTCATTTCCCAGGCAGAAACAGGAACAGATCCAATGGTCTCTCTCTCTTAATATATATTTCAAATAACCCCTCTCAGATTACATGAGTGAATTTCATTATATCACCTGACCCTTAGATGTCAGTCTGATGCATTGTAATACCTGCCGTAGAGAATTCCCTGATGGTCCAGTGGTTAGGACTGCATGCTTTCTTTGCCAAAGGCACAGGTTCACTGCTAAGGGTGCAGATCAGGGAACTAAGATCCCACAAGCTGTAGTGTGGCAAAAAAAAAAAAAAAATGCTATAAAATGAGGTTGACAGGTCTTAGCATACACCATCCCTATCATGGGGAGACAGATGACAGATGTAACTGAAGAAATTTCTTATATAAATATGTATATGTTTCCCTGATGGTTCAGTGAATAAAGAATTCACCTGCCATCTACAGTGCAGGAGATGCAGATTCAATCTCTGGCTCAGGAAGAGCCCCGGGAGAAGGGCATGGCTGCCCACTCCAGTATTCTTGCCTGGAGAATCCCATGGACTGAGGAGCCTGGTGGGCTACAGTCCATGGGGTCACACAGAGTCAGACACGACTGAAGCAACTTAGCATGTACGCACATATATATATATGTATATATACACCAAACCCCACAACTCACAAGACATGTTATTACTGTTCTTTTACAGTCAATGTTTTTCTATATATTATCATATATTTACCCAGTTCTTCATTCCTTCCTGTGTATTTATTGGAGGTTCCTTTACTTCAGTCTGAATAGGTCTTTTTAGTAATTTTTGTAGGGAAGAGACTATAGACTGCTAGAGACTAATTATGTCAGATTTTTTTCAAGTAAAAATGTCTTTACTTGACCTTTATTTTTGAAGGTCCCTTTTCACTATATATAGCATTTGTAGATGGAAGTTTTTTTTCTTTCATCATTTTTAAGATGTCATTCTATTGTCTTCTTGATGTCTGTCGTATATTCAGTCTAAAACTCAATTAGTCTTGTTTTCACTTCTCTGAAAGTAATATTTTTAAATTTTGCTTCTTTTAATATTTTCTTTCATAAGTTTAATTTTTCTGTTCCTATGTATGATTTCTTTGGTCACCTGATGCAAACAACCGACTCATTGGAAAAGACCCTGATGCTGGGAAAGATTGAAGGCAGGAGGAGAAGGGGATGACAGAGGAAAAGATAGTTGGATGGCATCACCGACTTGATGCACATGAGTTTGAGCAAGTTCCGGGAGTTGGTGAAGGACAGGGAAACCTGGCAAGCTGTAGTCCATGGCTTGCAAAGAGATGGACATAACTGAGCCACTGAACAACAACATGATTTTCTTTATTTTTTTCTGATACTGAGCATCTTGAATTTGTGGGTTAATGTTGTTTACTAGTTTTAGAAAATTCTCAGACTATCTTTTCAAATGTTGTTTCTGCCCTCTTTTCTCTCTCCTACACTCTTTGATTGAGAGAGCACATACATTACACATAATTAAATGGTTTTGCTATTATCCCTCATGTCTTATGCTCCATTCTTTCTATTAGCTTTTCACCTTCTTTGTACTTTAGCTTGAGAGTTTTCCATTGACCTTTATTTAGGTTCACTAAATTTGCTTTCTGCTATGACCAGTTTGCTATTAAACCCATCCAATGAGTTTTTAAGCCTAGATATTATATTTTTTCCAATGGCTACTTGATTAATTTACATAGACTTTGCTGAAGTTTTATTCTTAACCGTTTGATCCATCTTTCTATGTTCTTTAATACATTTATAATAAAATCTACTAACTTCAATATAGGAATAAATTAGACTAGTTTATTATCTTTTCTGTTGACTATTAGTAAAATTTTTCTTGTCTCTTTGCATGTATCCCTTTTTTAAAATTTGTATTTCAGATATTGTGTGTAAAGGAACTATTGAAAACTGAAATTATTGTTGCTTCTTAGAGATCATTTACCTTGCCCTCTGTTATACAGATAAGATGAGGGGTTACTCACCTCAATCCATTCAAAAATAAGCTTCCAAGGAACTGGATATTAGCTCTACTTACGCTAATTTCACCTCTGTTTTCATATGTCTTAAAGATGACAGCGGTCATGTGTTTATTGCAGGACATTGCCTCAAGAAGGATTTTACTCATCAGCACTATGAGACTGCAAAATATCTCACTCTGCCTTTCCAATTCAACACCTAGCTTCTTACACCACCCCCCCCACTCAACATTCAGCAAAGATCCACCAGGCAAACTGTACATTTGGGGTTTCTGTACATTTTAAACAGGCATAAAGCCATATGGTGTTCTAAAGCTCTGCTGGTTTGTCTTCCCCTAGGAGAGCCCCTTCGTCTGATCCTCAAATCATGCTTGGACTCAGCAAATCTCCATAAGGAAGAAAAAAGTAAAATCAGCTCACCTAGCAAGAGATCGTTGGAAGGACTAATATTGAAGTTGGAATTCCAAAACTTTGGCCACCTGATGCAAAGAGCTGATTCATTGGAAAAGACCCTGATTCTAGGAAAGATTGAGGGCAGCCAGGTGACAGAGGATGAGATAGTTGGATGGCATCATCAACTCAGTGAATATGAGTGAGCAAACTCCGGGAGATAGTGAAGGTCAGGGAAGCCTGGCATGCTACAATCCATGGAGCCACAAATAGTCAGATAAGACTTAGCAACTGAACAACAACAGAAAGAGAACTTTCTTCTTTGGAATGGTAGTTCATTTAGTCCTTTTTGTTTCCACTATTCTCAGATACCTTTTAAAATATGATTTCTGAAAGAAACAAAAGACCTATACATAGAAAACTATAAAACACTGATGAAAGAAATCAAAGAGGACACAAACAGATGGAGAAATATACCATGTT